TTAAAACACCAGGCCTGGAATGCCCCAGAATTTATAAGCCTCCAGCTGATCTAATATTTTATTATTTTTTAAAGTAAGCTCTATGCCCAATGTGGGGCTTGAACTCATGACCCTGAGATCAAGACTTGCGTGCTGTACTGACTGAGCCAGCCAGGTGCCCCTCCAGCTGGTCTGATAAAGAGAAGAGACACAGGTTGTCAGTGTCAAAGGATATCATCATAGATCCAACAGACACTGAAAGGATAATAAGAAAGTATTATAAGCAGTTTTATGCTGGTAAATTCAGTAACTTAGGTGAAAATGGGCATTCCTTGAAAGACCTAAATTAATGTGAAAATGAGCATTCCTTGAAAGACCTAAATTAATGAGACTGATTCAGGAAGAAACAGAAAATCTATGGAGCCCTATATCTAAAACCTCACAAAGAAAACTTTGGGCCAAGATGGGTTCACTGAAGTCTTAGATTTAAGGAAGAAATGATACCACTCTTGCACAACCCTTATTTTATTTGTAAAAATGTTGGTTTTGGTAAAAGCATTTCTAACTGTATGAAACTGCTCAGTCAGGCCCTGCTTTGGGCAGAGCTATTTTTGAGAGCTCTTTAAGTGTTGCCTTAGAGACAGACCCCTTCCTCCTGCAGGCTCTAGGACAAGTGAGGGCAGGGTCAAGGACTAGGTGTGGAAACTGGGCTGGGGTTAGAAATGGGGGGTATTTCCAGGAACAGACAAGTGGACTGTGGGGAGGATCCTAGTCCAGGTCATGGCTTTCCTGCCCTCCTCCACCAGTGTTTCTAAGAGTTTGGCTCTTCTGGAATTGGTGGAAAGAGTCATTAAATTGGCAAACAGTTGATGAAGATTGTCTAGGCCAGGCCAGGAGGAGCTGCAGGAGATGCCCCCACACTTGAGGAAGACGTGAAGGACTTGAGGGAGGGGTAATAAGGACTGGATATGAATAGGAAGGAACGCAGGCCTGTGTCCCCGGACTGGGGTCAGACCCTGATGTGCTCTAGGCCCAGAGGAGCGACAAGCTTATTGCCTGTGAACCTCAGAAGGCTGCCCGGAGGAGGTGGCCTTTGGGTTGGCCTCCAGAACTGGCCAGAGAATGGGTTTTCTTTGGGGTTATGAGAATGGACATGTCAGGATTTGAGATAGAGGGTCTGCTGTCAGGGTGTTCTGGAATGGGCTGCAGGGCAAGTGTGGGGGCCTTGTGAGGCTGCATCTTGAGAATGGCAGTTGTCCTGAGGGTCTGGGGAGCCAATGAGAGCTTTGAGCAGAGGAGCAGTTTGATGTGACCAGCATCTTGGGTGCAGATGATAAGGTGGAGAGTCTTTGGGGATGTGGAAGAGGAAAAGGAGGGAAGTGCAGCAGAAGCTGCATTCTCCAGAGCACAGGGGCAGAGGGGCAGCTGGCCGGCAAGAGGGGCAGGGCTGGTTGTGGGCTGGGTTGTGGTGGGGACCTGCGGAGGCAGCTTGGGAGACGGCAAGGCAAGGAACTGAGAACAGGGACTAGGAAGGTGGGAGAAAGGTGGGAGATTTGGGGAAGGGTGTGGGGAGGGTTAAACAGAGTCACATTTAACGGTCTCCTGGTGGGTGGGGTGGGTGGAGTGCCACCAGATTCCCTGAGGGTGCCGTGCCCCTTGAGCCCTGCCTGCCCTGGCAGGGTGTGCTCCAGGGCCTGGCCCTAGATTCAAGCTGGCTGTGGCCGGTCTGAGTGCAGTGTGAGTGGCCAGATGTGAACCAGGTCTGAACTGGGCAGGGGGGAGGAGAAGGACATGGGAGAGGTGGCTGGTTCAGCACTGTTTTTAGAAACTGAATGCCACTCTTGATATATTCTTGGTATACTATCTCTCATCTGCTTGTTGAACCCAGGGCAGGGGTCAGAAGGACCTTGATCCAGACCTGCAGCCACCACTGTCAGGCTCCGTGGCCTTGGGCATATCTTTTTGTTTCCCCAATGGCCATTCCCCAGGCTCCCTACAGATTGAATTGAGGACCTGGAAGATAGCCCTGGGAACCTTTGGTTCTGGGGGCCCTTTGAGTCTCTTAGGCTGGGGGTCCCTGAGGAGGATCTGCACCTCCTGCTGCCATCTCAGGTCACACATCCCTGCTGTGACCAAGACCAGGATGGCCCAAAAGCTGTTTCGCACTCTCACGAATGCTCACTGTCCTGTCTGCATTGCTGTTGAGTGGGAAGACTGGAGCACACCCTGTCCTTGTGTTTATGCGGCCTGTCTGTTACCCTGCTCCTGCCCCACACGCACGTCTTTATTGTTCTAGAGCATCTGCCCTGCCCACAGCAGCCCTGGCTGGGGTCGTCCTTAACCTCACACTGTGTGCGGAGGTGGTGACGCAGCCCGCCCGCCAGACTGCCGGGCACTTTTTTAAATGTCACATAGATAGTTGGGTGTTTTCTCATTTATTAATGAATAACTGACCTGTGCCAAGGCACTTGAGTGTTTCCAGGACTCCAGGACAGTGGTGGCCATGGTCACTGCTGAGAAGGGGCATGGTGTTTGCACAGGATGGTTCCCAAATGCTGTTTCTTAGTCCTCAGCCTAGTCTGCCAGCTAGTCCAGGTTAACTGAATCTCCCGGAAAGAAGCCTTCCTGGGGGGTCTCCCACCAGCCCACTTTGGGGAAAGCTGAGCCTTTTCTGCCCTTCTACCTCTGTCCTTAATCACCAAGGGGAGGCAGACACTGCTGGCCATCAGGGAGTCTGCTAGCTGCCACTTGGAAAGGAGCTTTTTGTTCGACTGTCCAGGTTTATGGCTTGAATAATCTGCTGGCATTTCGTCAGGGAGGGGTGCATGTACCAGTTGGGCCTCTGTTGGAGGGTCCTACCCAGGCCCCAACAGTCCTGGGGGCCCTGAGAATCCTAGCTTGTCTCTCATTTAGGAATTTGTATTCTAGGGGTGCCTGGGTGGCTCAGTCTGTTGAGTATCCAACTCCAGCTCAAGTCATGATCTCACAACTCTTTGTTTTCGAGCCCCATTTCGGGCCCTGTGCTGACAGCTCAGAGCCTAGAGCCTGCTTTGGATTCTGTGTTTCCCTCTCTGCCCCTCCTCTGCTCACACAAACTCTCAAGTATAAATCAACATTAAAAAAAAAACACAAAACCCTTACCCTGTCCCTGTTCTCCCTTCCCTCTTTCCCATCACCAAGCAATGCCTCTCTGTCCCAGGGCTTACTTGTCCAGAGAGATTGCCAGGCTCTTAGGGAAGTTCCTGCCAGCAGCTCTCCTGGCCTGTCCTCTGGCGCCTCGTGCCTTCGGAGCTGGTCAGAGCCCTCTGTGATTGGCCCCACCTGCCTCGAAAACCTTACCAGCATTCACCTTCACCGTGACTGCTCTTCCAGCCACCTGGGTGTTCTTCAGACCACACCCGCCTTGGCTGAGGCTGTGCCTTCCTCCAGGAAGGCTTTTCCTACTCCTGTCACACCCACATTCTGCACCATCGTCCCCTCCCCACCCCACAGGGTCCCCTCCCCGCCCAACAGAACCGTGCTGACTGCTCTCTGTCCCAACTGCCTCCTGCCTCATCCCCAAGAGACTGAGCTGCCCTGGGTTGAAAGAGCAAGGAGTTATCTTGATCACATCACAGAAGCTTTTCTTTGAGCCAGAAGCCTCTAGGCTGGTTTTAGTGGCCTCCTTCCCTGTAAGTGTGAGACCAAGGAATGGTGGGGTCTGGTTTTTCTCAGAGTCTCCACAATGATCACTGTTAGGAAGTGACTCATAAAATAAATGCCACTCTTGGGGAGGCAATGGTCAGTGGCATAAACAGACTTCTGGGAGAGCTAGTACACGCAGCTACTTTACCTGTAATTTGTTATGTCAGCTCTGGCTTTTTTTTTTCAAGCTTTTTTTTTTTTTTTTTTTTTTAGTAGTCTCTGCAAACAACATGGGGCTTGAACTCATGACTCTGAGATCAAGAATCTCATGCTCTTCCAACTGAGCCAGCCAGACACTCTCCCCCTCCGCTCTCCCCCCCGCCTCCCCCACTGCCAGTTCTTTCTTATGTCATAGCCAGCTCCCTGTGGCAGTGCCTTACTGATGCCTCCTCGGAACACTGCTCCAGCGAGATGGTCAAAGGCACATTGCTGCCCGAAATGAAATACTCAGTGACACCCTCTGGAGGGCCAGCCCCGGCATGCAGGGAGACCCCGGAGTCTCTCAGGACATGCACCGAGAGCATGGGCATGCATTTGAGCACATAACCCTGCACACACCCTGCATATCTGTCTGTCCCCAGTCTGATCTTACGGAGTAGGGGAGAAGGCCCAGGAAGACTCGCCTCCGCAGGTGGATGCAGCATGGTGGTATCCGTTGTTGTGGCCCCTGGTGGATCTGGAGAACAAGTGTACTGTGTCAGGGTTGAGATGAACGTGGCATCTTTAGACTCACAAAAAGATGGGGGGGGATGGGGGGGCAGGAGAAAGACAAAAACAATTCAGAAGAAATTTTTCCCATAGAAACTTCAAACTAGTTCCCCTTCCCTCCATCCCCTGAATACATCGTAGGAGTCTTATTGCCAGTCCAGCTCTAGTTTGAGCTCTGCTCCTCCTCAAGGTAACCAAATAGGTGTTTCTGGAGAGGCCCCTGGCTTGGAAGGGGGAGTCCTGAGGCCTGAGCTTTTGCCCCACCCTGGTTGCTGGTGACTGCTCTTGCCAGCTCAACAGGGGCTCTCTCCAGACCCAGGAAGTGGGCCCTCTAGCACTGGCCAGCTTCATTTCTCACCACTAAAACCTTCTAGCTCCTCCTGCTGGTGTTCTCTGAGGGCCACTGGGGGCCTGGCCTGGCCTGGGCTCACCAGTGGTTAAGTTTTGGGGGCTGGAGTGAGGGGGTAGGGGTAGGGGGGGAGTGGGAGGTTGGGGAGGGAGGGAGACCCCACCTGGGGGCTGTAACACCAGGCTGCTCCTGGCCAGGTAGTCCTGTTCCTCACCAGCTCCCTGGGCATCAAGGACTGCAGGTAGGTAGTGAGCAAGTGGTTTTCTTCCTTCCTTTGCAGGACAAGGAAGATGGGGAGCCCAAGACCAAGCAGCTCAGAGAAGGGGAGGAGGAAGGCGAGAAGCACAGGTGAGGCCCATGCGCCACACTCTGCCCTGAGTGCTCCTGGGACTCCTGCCGGTTTCTGTGTTCACAGTCTTTACCCCGTGCCTTCCCCCAACCTGGGGCTGCCTGCTCAGACATGAAAATCTCACCCTTCTCCCCAGTCGGAGCCTTCCCTGCATCCTTTCCACCGCTGGCCGGCTGGCTCATACTCAGCCACCAGCATTTTCTTCCTGACCCTCATGGTTTATCACTCTTCTCCTCAAACTGCTTGCCTGGCGTGATTCTTCGGCACCTGCAAAATCAGGTGCAAACCCTGCCTAGTGTGTAAGCTCCACACCAGGCCCACCGGCCTGGTCCAGCCTCGTTTCCCGTAACTCTCTGACCCTTCAGCATCTCCTGATGGCATCCTCTGGGTACGCTACTCTCTCAGCCTGGATTCCTTTTCATCTCCCTTTTCATTTCTTCCCCACCTTAGATGGGTCGGTCTTCAGGTGGAGCTCAGCTCAGAGGCCTCCACATCGTCATCCCTGTCTGTGCTCCCCCACCCTCTCAGGTCATGGAGACCATTCCTCTTTGCCGGACCCTGTCTTCTGGCCAAGGCAACTGTAGTTTCCCTGAAGCTGGCGCTTTCCCCTGTGGCTGCGGGCACACGGTCTGCCCCCAGTCTTGAGGGCCAGTGCCTCCACACGGCTTGGGTGCTGCTTTGCATCAGAAATACCCGGAAAACATTTACAGAGCCAGCGTGTGGGGCAGGCAGAAGCTGTATGTTTGGTCTTTGTGAGCTGGGGAGAACCTTCTTGTCTGCCCAGCACTTCCCATGCTGGGGTTCAGGAGTCTCGTGCCCTCCCTCCCACGCCCAGTGCTGAGCTGGGGCCATAAGCGTAGCTGGAAGGCTGTGCTTGGGATCAGACTTGGTCTCTGAATGGACAGGTCACCTTGATGCCCTCTGTCTCGAGCAGGCACAGGGCTTAATGGCACCTGCTCCCTTGGGGGAATGGATCTTGAGGTCCTCAGAAAACTTATGTGGGCAGGCTATGCTTTGAGCGGGAGTGGGGGACCCTCCCCGGAGGAGGGAGCAGGCCTTTCTGATCCCACAGCCTGTGTTGTCTTTACCAGTATGAGTGGGACCTCATGAGGAGCAGACCCCTCATCTGGAGCTGATCTCAAACAAGATGGGGCTTTTCAGGTCCACAGAAAAGGGTGTGTGTGTGTGTGTGTGTGTGTGTGTGTGTGTGTGTGTGTGTGTGCGTGCGCACATGCATGTGTGAGTGTGACTTCACAGTTTGCCCAGTGGGCTCACACTGTCCTCACAGCAGCCCTGTAGGGTCCTTGCCACCTCCCTTATTATCAGAGATGGTAACAGCTCTGTACTGTGAGGCTGGTGGTGCCAAGTGGTGGTGCTGGGACCCTCGCCACCCAAACCTAAGCTCAGGGCTTTCCTATTGGGCCCGCCCTCCCCCTCATCACCTCAGGGAGCCTCCCTGGTGACAGACGAAGGCCAGGCTGTTGCTCTTTTGCCAGGTGACTCCACTTGCATGGTTTGGGGACCGCGTACCTGCACATTTTCTCCTGGACCGTGGTAACTAGGGGAAGCTTTGGTTCTCTTCTGGCTAGAGCCTTGAGTTCTGGGCTCTCTTGGCTTTGCTGGAAGGTCCCTGCTCTCGCCACCCCCCCTTCCCTCCTTGATGAGAAAGAGAAGAGTCATTGGTTAGCAGGTGGGTGGGTCATACGGTAGAAGACTTGACTGTTGAACCGTGCAGTTGAATCTCAAACATGGCATTGGTGGAGGAAAAAAAGCAGGCTTCGGAGTTGAGAACAGATGGGGCAGGAAGGTGTATATCAAATTTAGAGGCCCTCATGGTGACAGGTTTTAACTCGCCCAATAAGGCCTGACTGTGCTGGTTGTCGGATTTGCACAGGGCATCGTTCCTGGCCTGGGAGGCGGCAGTGGACGAAACAGGCCCTGCCATCGGGGGTCATTCTCTAGAGGGACACAGACTTAACAAAAAAGCAAGCGTGTGGTAAGATGTCAAGGGCTGTGAAGCGGGAGCTGCAGAAATGTAAACATGCAGGTGGAGGTGCACCAGCTCCTGGCCTCAGATTAGCTGCTGGGAAGTGGGGAGGAGCGGGGATTAGGGAAAGGCTTTCACCTTCTTTAACAAAAGAAAAGTGTTGGGGGTGGGGGTGGCAATCCTGTCTCAAAAAATGCAAAATGTTGCTTTTGTTGACTCTGGAGGAAGTGAGTACAAGTGTTGTGTTATTCTCTGAATTTTCCTATGTGCCTGAGAGATTCATAATGAAAACAGTGTGAAAGAGAAAGCAAAGAGGTGCATGGTTCCAGGTTCCTGTGCGGGGGCTCAGGGTTAAAGAGACCCCGTTTACCTGCTAGAGTCCTTTGTGGTGAAGCACCAGACCCCCTGTGAAATCCCCCCACTGGGCTGGGCAAGTGCAGGGCCCCTGCTCCTTTGCTCAGAGCAGCCCAGGGATCAAACATGAATACATTGAATTGGGTTCTGCTTCAGCTTGTCCTGTTTGCCACTTTCCTCTGACCCCGCCTCCTTTAAGGCAGGATGTATGGTGGGCCCATCTGGCCTGGTGAGCAGGGGCTTGACTTCAGTGGCTGTCCTTCTGCTGCTCAGTTACTGCCTAGCTTGTCAGGAATCCCAGCCTTAGCCAGGACTGGATTTGTAACCTCCCCACCCCCGGAAAAATGGACTCTCCTCACTTTTAACAGGTTTAGAGTAAAGAGTTTGTCTGGGTTTATTTTGGACGGCCTCAGTCCCTGTACTAAGGAGCCAGAGCTTTGTGGGCTTAACCCCAGACTGCAGGGTCCAGGGCTTGGGTATGGGCTTTCCAGAAATAGCATGAGGCAGCATAGTCTGTCAATGTCTCTCCCAGGAAAGAGGGGACCTTTCTTCTCATCTGTACCCCAAGTCTGGAAAGGAACTCCCAGCAGGGTGCTTATGGCTTGGGAGCAGCCTCCAGCCCTTGCCATGGCCCCCTTTGCCAATGGGGAGAAAGGGACTTCCTTCTAGGCCCCCTGAGAGGGGGGTGGGGGGTGGGATGACCTCTGAGGCCAGTTAACCGGTGAGCATCTTGGCTTCCTTGGCTCCTGGAAGGTAAGAACAGTCCTCTTCAGTCCAGGTCAGCCCACACTGAGCCCAGGTGCCAGGTGGGCACCCCTGTGGGCACCAGCCCTGCCTTCAGCCCAGAGGAGCCAGACAAGGCCTCCTAGTGAACATTCCTCTTGAGTAGGTCTGGAATCTTAGTAGGTAGATTTAGGCAGATCTTAGTAGGTAGATTTAGGCAGAGAAGGCCCAGAGGTGTAAACCAGCAGGGTGTAAGGGCAAGTGGGGTAACCTTTTGTTGGAGAAGTCTGGACAGACATTGCTTATAACCCCAGCCCAGGCTTCATACAGGTCACTGGAGCAGGGAGGAGGATTTAATATGGTGGCCTTGTAGGCTCTGCACAGGTACGTAGCACATAGCCTGTTTCTTCAGTTGGTGTTCACTAGGTCATCATGTGCTTTTGTTTACTTCGGCAGGACTGAGCAAAATAAGAAAGGTCGAGGCGATTCTTTGTGCAGCAGTGGCCCTAACATTGTAGAAACTAAGCTGATGGAGAGAGCTCAGGACCGCGACTTATGAGCCTTCTCGCCTTGGCAAGTCACATTGCCTCAGTGAGTCTCACCCGAGTATCTTCACCCCAAAGATAGGGAGAAAGCTAACACTTGCTTTCCTGGTGAGCACACCAAATACTGTGACTGGGCTCTGGGCAGAAAGAAGACACTTTTAGGCCCTCCTGAGTCAGCTGAAGGACTCCAGAAACACCTGGAAAAGACAGAACCAACTGTAGGCTCTGCTAACTCTGCAAATAGGGCAGTCATTGGGGTAACAGAGGTGGGTAGATGAGAATAGAAGTAAGTACCTGTGGCCAAGAAGTGAATCGTTAGGGGTCCTCTGTGGGGCCTCCCATCCTCAGGACAGCAGATCATCCTCAGCAAAGAAGTTGAGCGGCATCATTTTGCAGATGCAGGGGGGGGGGGGGGGGTAGGGTATGTGGCTGAGGAAACAGGAAAACCCAGCAGGATTGGAGGCAGGCACACCGGGACGTCGCCCCTCACCAGCCATGCTTCCTCTCTGCCTGTGCTCCTGCCCATTTGCCTAAGGAACCTTCTCAGAGTCTTGGCTGTTCTAGTTCCTTTGCCCTTCCTGATACATTTTAGTGTCAGCTTGTTAATATCTATAAGAAAAGCTTGCTGGGATTCTGATTGAAATCTGTAGATCAAAATTCCTTTTTAAAAATTTGTATTACTCTCTTCAGGATAAATCCTGCCCTGTCCCCATGCATCCACATCCCCACTGGGGTGGGGAGTCAGTCCCTTGAAGGTGGACTGGCCTAAACCAGGCTCTGCGGGAAGGAAAGCCGTGTTTGCATTGCCAGAAAAGGGCCCCGCTTGTTCTCTGGGCTGGGTCTGCCTGCTTCCAGCCAACCTGCCTGGTAGCGAACTGAGGGGCCTCCATGACTCATTCCTCACACGGACCCTTGCCTGCCACCTAGATAAGAGATGGTCTGGCGGCCCTGGAAAGCTGGCCTGCAGAAAGGGGTATTTCTGTCAGCTGCTTCTGTTTTTTTCTTTATGATCCCTCGGTCACTTCCTCTAATGGCAAGTCAGCTGACATATGTGCCATAGGGGGTTGCCTGGGGTAGTATTTGTGGCTGACGGTCACGGCTGCCCTGCCAGGTGGGAGCACAGGGTGGTGTCGCACACCCTGTTGGGCATGGGGCAGGGGAGCGTGTCTTGTTGAGCGCCCGAACAAGCGAGCCTCAAACCCTCAGGCCCCACAACCACCACCTCCCTCTGGCTCTGGGTCAAGGTCTGCACCCAGCTGGAGCAGTCCCCATTCAGGGACAGCGGTTCACTCTGGAGTCGGTGGCACACACTGCTGCCGAAGAAACTGGGCCACTGGCCCTCCGTCTTCAGGATGGAAAACCAGTTCCCCCACTCCCATGTGGACAGAGG